TGTGTGGTGGTTTTTGCTTCTTCAAGGCGCCTCTCCAGCCTCCCCAAGATGGCGCCTGCATATAAGGAAAGCCACTGTCCTCCTTGTGTGCCCGTGCTGTCCTCTGGGTGTTGGCTGGGCTCCTGGAGATGTGACTGGCGTATTGTGTGGTTTGTTCTCTTGGTGCCCTCAGGGTCCAATGTGCCTTCCCTGGCTGACTCAGGCCCACCTCAGTGCGGGCTAACACATCATGCCGTCCATCCAGACCCTGAGCCACACAGTCACCACAGCCTCAGTAGTAGGGTTGACCTGCCTTTCCGTCCTGCCCTCAGCTCCATCACCATCTGACAGCAGAGGGAGCACTTGGGGGCACTCTTTGCCATCTTCTCTCTCCTTCTTTCTGCCTAAATACTCCACGTTGCCATTTTTATTCTGTTCCCGGAGTCCCCAGTGGGAAGTAGGGCATAAGTCCTCTCTGCTTTGGCTTCCCTTCAGTCTACCTGGGATTTAAGTCTTGTTCCCACTCTAACCATTGTTCATCCTCAAAGTGGGGGCGGGGCTAGTGCAGGGGTTCCCATGTCTGACCTCTTCTCCTCATTTCCCTCCTCTCTCCTTCTCCATGTAGCCCGGAAGCATCTCCACTTCCTCCCTTGGTGTTCGAGAAGTTCCCTTAAGTTACAGCCTGAGTTTTCTCTACATATGGCTTATAATAATGCTAGGTGTTCAGACCTTCAAGCTTTTTTTGTGTGTGTGAGGAAGATTAGCCCTGAGCTAACATCTGCCAATCCTCCTCTTGTTGCTGAGGAAGACTGGCCCTGGGCTAACATCCATGCCCATCTTCCTCTACTTTATATGGGACGCCGCCACAGCATGGCTTGACAAGCGGTGTGTCGGTGCGCGCCGGGGATCCAAACCCAGGCCGCTGCGGCCGAGCGTGCGCACTTAACCGCTACGCCACAAGGCCGGCCCCCAGATCTTCAAGATTTGATCATAATATGTAAAGGGAATTTTGAGTTTAGAGAGACCTTTTTTAACAAAGGCTGACTCAGGATTATTATTTTTTGATGGACTTAAAACATTTTTTGGCAGGGCAGAACAATGACTTCATTGTTATGGTTGGGGTCTGTCTGAAGTATTCTGGAAGGTCCCGAAGCCCACTGACGCAATAGGTGGCAGGTTCTAGGGGATTATTATTTGAGTGGAATACAAAAAAATAAATTTATTATTTTAATAATATTTAATATTTTAATAAATATTAAACCCCTTACATATATAACCTGAATAAGGAGTAGGAATAATAAAGCTCAGGGGGTTCCCCGACTTCCCATGAGGTCAGTGACCCCAGACACTCTAGCTCCGTGGTTGGCCAAACCTCTAACCCATGACCAGCCTTCACTGGAGGTGGCTGGGGAGGAGGGACCTGTCCATCCAGATTATTTCCCAGGTTTTTTGTCTACCTTATTCACCACCAAACTTGGATCCAGAAGCCTCTTGGCTGCTTTTAGAAATTAAAACTATGCTCAAAGATGAAAGCTGCGTCTCCACCGAGAAGAACCCAACGGATGTGCCACAGGCTTCAAGGCAGGTCTCCAAAACAAGTTCCTGAAATATGTTGAGCAACAGCATAAATGTCCATCCTCCCAAGAGGAGTCTTTGAAGGGGAACACGCTCATTTGGATATGTTCCCTAGAAAAAGCATCTCTGTCGTGACAATCCATTCCCACTGTAGACAGTCCCTGTCCGGGATCCAAAAGCTCGTGTACCTGCTGCCTCTCCTCAGAACTGGGCGCTCGCCGCGAGAGCCGCGTGGACCTGCGAAAGGCAGGAGTGAGGCAGATGCAGAGAGAATTAAACTCTCCTCCAGCTGGGCAGCCCCTTTTGATGTCAGCAACCGAGGGACATTTAGTTTCTGTGCCTTGAATTGTAATGTCTCCGGAGTGTTCTAGGTGGGCTGTTGGAAGCAGCTCGGGCCGGGAGCAGAATGTCGGTATCAGAAGAGAGACAGGGCTGCGCCCAGTCGTGAGGGCTGTGTGGCTGCTCTGATCTCCATGAGAGACCACCTGCCTCGCAGGGGGTTGCAGAGCAGTCACCTCGTCCACTGCCCAGAGGCCTGTGCCTCGGTGACTGTCCTCCCGTGTCTGCCCCTGCCCCAGAGCTTTGGAGGCACAGGCCCCCGATGTTGGTGGAAGCGGAACCTGTCAGGTTCAGTGCACGTCCTCGTGGGCTCCACCTCCCCACACCGAGGAGCTTCAGGTGCAGACATGTGTAAGGCGCTGTTGGGGGTTTGCACAAAAACAAAATCTAATTGATTCATTTGGTCCCTTGTTAATTTACTTTCATTCATCAAACATTCATTGAGTCCCTACTGTGTCAGCCGCTGGGGATGGCTGACGTCTGGGGATGCCCACATGAAGGAATCCACATCTCTCCCTGCAGGAGGAGATCAGAGAAGAATGGGGAAAGAGACAGCTCAAGTGGCGCAGGAAGGGGCTGGGGGCTCTCAGGAGGGAGCGCACAGGGCGCCGAGGTGGGTCAGCCATCGGATCAGGAAAGCTTGGCCAAGTAGCTGAGGCGCAAGTGGAGTTCTGAATCCAATCTGGGTGATGGCTGTGCTCTGAGGCAGTTTGTGGTCAGCTTTTAGAGGAGTATAAATGAGGTCTTTAGGAAACACAAAGAAAAAGAGGTGACTTGTGGCTGGAGGATGAGAGGCATTGCGGAAGGCTTCACGGAGGAGAAGAAAGATTCAACAGGTGGCGTTGCAGCGAGGATTTTGCTAGCAGAGGGAACAAATGAGGAAGCATGGCAGTGGAAAAGACCAAAGCATGTTTTATGCACATCCAAGTTAGACTGGAGATTAGATTCAGGGTGGGGGTGTAATGGGAGAAAGACGGGGGGGGGATGTGGGAGGAGTCATATTGTGAAGGGTCTTGATGCCCTGTTAGTTTTTTTTCAGTCTTAAGCCGTGGAGGCAGTTGGATGTGTTTGAGCAGAGGAACGACATGGTCACAGGTGTTAACAGGAAGGAGATAGGAGTGAGGGGAGGAAACTGTGTTTTTTCATTCATTCTTTGGAAATCGCCTTTTTTTTTTTTAAAGATTTTATTTATTCATTTTTTTCCCCCCAAAGCCCCAGTAGATAGTTGTATGCCATAGGTTCGCCTCCTTCTAGTTGCTATACGTGGGACTCGGCCCCGGGTTGGACGGAGAAGTGGTGCCTTGGGGCGTGCCCGGGATCCGACCCCGGGCCGCCAGCATCAGAGCGCGCGCACTTAACCGCCAAGCCACGGAGCCGGCCCTGGAAGTTGCCTTTCAATGAGATGCTGCCCCTCTTAAATCTTCTTTAGTGAGAAGCGACAAGACCATGACTGCCCGTACCAGCTCTGTCTCCCCCCGCCACCAGGGCTGGCCTCACCGGGGAGCCTGGCTGCCTTCAGGAGGATGATGTTTGTCAGTGAAGTGGGGCCGGGTGAGAGAGGGAGGCGGGAAGCAGAGTTGCCTTCTAGATCGAAGAGCTCTTCCAAAAGTAAATGTGTGTGTGTGTGTGTGTGTGCGCGCGCGCGTGAGAGAGAGAGAATATGAGGTTAGTTGGGGAAAGCAGGAGGAAAAGGAATTAACTTGGGACCAAATCATGAAGCTCTTTGTTGAGAGAGACAAGGGCAGACAGAGCAAAGGGCTTTCCAGGATAACCCGGTGATAGAGCCGTGCTGAGCACATGACAGATTCTCAGAGGTGGGTTCCTGGGCCATAATTTACTTACCTGAGTCTGAGAAAACCATGGGGTATTCACTCTTGGACTATATATGCAACTTCGGCCAGCGTTAAAGGAAAACAGAGCTAGACAAGGTCCTCAGAGGGCCTCCAAAATGTGGAAGGGGCTTCCATCTGAAGGTACATTGAAGAGATTCAGATTTTTTTTTTTATATGGAAAAGGTGGAGGCTGAGACACATAGGCAGGATTTTGGAGTCATCTGAACTGAATGAATGGGAGAAACTTGTCACCAAACCCCAGCCTCCTAGAGGTAGGGCTCTGTAGTGAAACTGGAAAGAGGCAGCTGGTGCGTCAGTGAGATGAAATATCCTTTCACTCAATGAGAAGCACGCTTAGGGACATTGAGATCTCAGAGACTGGTGTGGAATAAGCCTATGAGTGCATGTGAGCCAAGTTTACATCGGTTCCAGGATGATAGATCCACCACAGGATGTTAGGTGAGCAAGAAGCGTCTAGGGCTTATGCTTAATCTTTTGAAGTCCACACCATGGGTGACAATGACACCTTCCAAGAAAGTGCCACTCAGTGGTGCGGGTCTGGGAGGTCCTGACTTGCACAGAAAGGGGTTTTCTGTTTTCTTCTACATTAACTTGGCTCTCCAAAGTGACCAACACCACGCCCTAGGATTTTAAACCTCTTGACTTTTATTTCTTCTGCCTCATATTATGATGATTTAATGCTAATCAATACCTCAAGAGCGTTATAAGCAATGAAGCATCAAGGCTGTCATGGCGAGCTCTGAAACACAAAAGGGCAGTCCTGTAAACAGACGTGTGGGGCCAACTCTCCATCATCCAAGGTCATGTGGGGCAAGGAACACACCCGCGCACACACTCACATGCACACACGCTCACGCATGCTCACACGCACACATCCTGGGTTGGCTAAATAGCTTCAATGATTCCTCCAACCAAATGTTTTGTCAGAGTTGCTAATAAGGGACCAAAGAGACTGGTTTTTGCTTCTTTCTTTCTATTTTCTAGTCACTAGTCGAGTGCTTAGGAGATGTGAAATGGTCAGCGTGCAGGGGGCGGTATGGAGAAGCAAAGAACTTCCGATGGAGTAGGAGACTTCCAATGAGGCAGCAGGAGCTGACAGCTGCCCGTGACCTGGGAGGAGGAGAGTCTGACTATCTGACTTAGAAGGGAGTGGTGTGACGTGGGCTCTGGATTGAAGAGGACAGTGAGGGTCAGAGAAAGCAGGGCCCTGCAGGCCTGGCCTGACCAGTGTGTGTCCCCCGTGACACCGTGCAGGTGACTGCTGGCTTCTGGCGGCCATTGCCTCTCTCACCTTGAATGAAGAGCTGCTTTACCGAGTGGTCCCCAGGGACCAGAACTTCCAGAAGAACTACGCGGGAATCTTTCATTTTCAGGTACTGTGCCTTGCTCACGGCCCTTGACGCCCTTGATGCTACTTTCGTACTCTCTGGGTCCTACCCCAGATCTACTGAGTCAGAAACTCTGGGGGTGGGGCCCAGTAGCCTCTGTTTTAACAATCCCTCCAGGTGATTTTGATGCATACTTGAGTGTGAGAACCACTGATTTAACATATCCGTCCAATTACCCACGCGTCTATCCCCCAGCTGTCTCCCCCAGGCCGTGTGGCCTTGAGGAAAGCACTTTGGACTGAGGGTCAGGAGATGTGGGTCCAAATCACCCACTGTCACCACTGCGTGATGCTGGTCAAGTTTTCTTACCCACAAACTCACCCTTGACTCGGCATTTCCTGCTTTCTCTGGCATCTCCTACGTGCACGGATAAGTAAGACACAGATCCTGCTCTTAAGGAGCTTAGAGTTCATTGAAGGTCCGAAGCTGGACCACGGATGAGCACAGAGGCGCTTTCCGAGGTCCCCTGAAGAGACTCCCTCTGCCCGTCAGCTTCTTCCTGTGAGCAGCTGCTGTGTTTTCGCACCCCCAGTTCTGGCAGTTCGGAGAGTGGGTGGAGGTGGTCGTGGACGACAGGCTGCCCACTAAGGACGGGAAGCTGCTCTTCGTGCACTCGGAAGAAGGCAATGAGTTCTGGAGTGCGCTGCTGGAGAAAGCCTACGCCAAGTAAGCCGGGCAGGGAGGAGCTAGGAGACTCCACCGCCCCCTGGAGGGTCTCACCTGCCCCCTCCCCAAACTCAGGGTGTCAGGCCCAAGTCCGTCCCAGCACCTGGACCCCCATGTCTGTGTCCCTCTGTAACTAAGAGAAACAGAAATTTGGGCTATGAGTTGAAAAGCGCAACTCTGTTCTGAGTGAATCTGTGAATCAGGGGTAAGCCTTTTAGCCTCCCTGCCCCCTAGCTTTCTCCTCTTTCGAACCTCAGGGTCAGTTCTTAGGTCAATGTGAATCTTTAAAAGAATGATGAAGAAGAAGAATAAAACAAATGTACTTAGATACCAGACTCAACAAATTCTCTACCCTTTGCCCAGGAGTCATTCTCCTTCTCGCTGGTATTCCATGTTCAAAGCCTTCTTTTGGGGTCTTTTAATTAGTCTCATTTACTGGTACCCTTTTCTGCGTCCTCAGTGCCTTTCCAGCCCTATTCCCAAAGCAGGCCCCAGGGGATGCCTCTCGGCCTTGAGGGAGGGTCCCCCCTCCCTATCTATGCCCCAGAAACCCAGAAAGCCAGGGCCAGCTCTGGAAAGGTTGCACTTTGCTTTTTCTAGGAGGGGGTGGCCCGGTGAGAGGTGGTATGAGGTTCGTTCCCGGCCAAGTGCTGAACTGGCCACGTGAGACCGTGGCCAAAGCACCTTCCTGGTCCACCACAAAATTGGCCAAGGGCCCTCCTTTACCTTCCAGACCATGCTGTCCTAGCACCGCCCCTGCCCCTACCTTGCATGGTCCCCTCGTGAGGTTGCTAATGGCTGTGGATAACGCACGCTTTCTTTCTTTTCCAACAGGCTCAATGGTTCTTATGAGGCTCTCGCTGGAGGGTCCACAGTGGAGGGGTTTGAGGATTTCACGGGCGGCATCTCTGAGTTTTATGACCTGAAGAAGCCGCCAGCCAGTTTGTATCACATCGTCTGGAAGGCGCTCTGCAGGGGCTCTCTGCTGGCCTGCTCCATTGATGTGAGCCATGATGATTTCTCTTGCCCCCACTCCCCGTGTTGGTAGAGAAGGGACCAGACACGGGGTGAGAGGCCTGGGAAGGCTTTGGGCCAGAGCAGCGTCTGGGACTTACTGAGCAAGTCTGATGACATATTGGTCCCCAGCGTGTGAGAGCTGGTTAAGACCTAATTAGTGGGGAGGAACTGAGGTTGGTCTCATGGTAGGAGCCCCAATTTCCACTAATTGTTAGAGCCCCTTTAGTCCTGTGGGAATTGCCCTAAGAATGTAGCCTTGATCCCTGGATCCTGGGCCCTGCCTTTGCTACCTCCCTTTTGCTGAGTAATCTTGGGATTTGGGAAAACAAATGTGATGATTGACAATGCTTGATGGACTTTGAGATTGCTGAAGGACAGGGAAGAGGCTATGAACCAGGGTCATGCCCTCTCTGGGGGGTTGGCTGTATGGAGTGCCGAGGTGACGTGGAGACAGAGCCTAGGGGTCACCAGCCCTGTGGTCTGTTGTCATCTGCCCCTCCACCTGCTCCTCCTTCCTCTCCCGCTCTTACCTGATGATCTCAGACACGTGAACGACAAGCGTCTATGAACATCCCAGCAGGATATGTGTGTTTTTGGTGGAGAGGTGATATGGGGATCTGCGGGGTGGGCTCTGAGAGAGGAAGGACGATTGGGAAGCCCACTCAGTGACAACCTGGAGAACCAGGACTTGTCCAGAACATTCGTTGTGGATAATTAGTCTTCTTCAGGCAGCATGGGGTCGCTCTTGGGGAATTCATGTCTTCCCAGTTTCCTGGGGCATTTTAAAGGCTGGTAAGTCATATTCCAGGCTTAGCAGCCACAGAGCCCCCTGTCTGGAACTGCAGAATTAAAGAGGGGTGAATGGAGAGGGCTCTGTTTACCAGAGGTTCATCGTTGCATCTGTACCTCCAGCCTTGCACTGGGGCCCCCGTGTCGTGTGTCCTTTGAAAACATCATAGGACCAGCGCCACGAGGTCAGGGTCAGCCACCCTGAGTGGACTTGATTCTCAACCCAGGTCTCCAGCGCAGCCGAAACAGAAGCCATCACCAGCCAGAAGCTGGTTAAGAGTCACGCATACTCTGTCACTGGAGTCGAAGAGGTAAAATCGGGCGAGGGGAGGGCAAGGGTGATATGTAACGATATTGCCGTAAGTCCAGGGCATCCTGGAGAGGAAGAGAGAGGGGATAAGCGCCAGGAGCTTCCCTGCCCTGCAGAGGGGCAGTCTCTCTCTGGCTGCACAGAGCCCTGGCACCACACGTGTGCTCTTGCTCATGACAAGGGCCCTTCTGACACTTACCCACTCAGAGGTGGATAACGTAACCTCTCTGAGCTATAGCTCTATGGGCTCTAACTAAATGCAGGCTCTCCTCTGAGATGTAGCCAGGAAGAGGATGAAGGTTCTGGAGGAAAGTTGTAGAAATTGTCAGTTAGATTCTACACTCATTCCAAGAAGTATGTTTGTGCAGGTAAAGCAGTGGAAACCCGTAGGATCCCCAAAGAGAAAAAAGGCAGTAATACCTGCCCCAACTTTCAGAGTGGGGTATAATAATGGGAAGGAGCACACGTATTCCTCACTCTCCAACCCAAGGAGAAAGCATGAGCTATAATTTTCATTATTCTTATTTACTATATTCTGCCTACTTCCAAAAAGAATTTGAGGTGGCTTACAATGAAAAGTGTAGACACAATAAGACCATACCAATCTAGGCTAAGACCAATCGAGGCTAAAGACATTGCAACAATTGAGAAATTAATTTTGCCTTTGGGTTTCCAGGTGGCCAAGGCAAAAAGGGAAATGCAATGGGTGTCTCAGCTCTTGTTACTTATTAAAATGGCATTAATGCTTATTACATGTGTTTGTGTTTGACAAATATGCTCTTTAATCAAGTCAATTCCCAAATATGAATTGAGCACCTATGTGTAAACATTGGGCTAGCATATGATGAAAGATACAAAGGAAAGTAAGACACTGAAGAATTAACAATTCATCTTATTTGTGTGGGTGTGTGCAAATGCAAGCACGGGGCTCATAGTGAATGTTCAATAAATAGTAGGGGAAGGAGGTATGTATGGGCTTTGGAGACAGACTGCCTGGGTGCCTGTCCTCCATCCTGGGTAACTTAACCTCTCTGAGTCTCAGATTTTTGAGCTGTAAAATGAAGATAATAACAGTACCCAGCTCATAGGATTGGCCTGAGGCTTAAATGAGGCATTTGAAATGCTTAGCACTGTGCTAGTCGGCAGTACATACTCAATAAATACGAACTGCTGTGCTATTAGTATTTGTTTGGAGGGCGTTTATTATTGTTAGGTCTCGTATATTAAGAACTGAGTCAACCACAAAATCTAAATCCAAGTTAAAGCAGACATAAACTTGTTTTTGTGCCAGACTCACTATTTATTCAACCAAACTGAAAAATAGAGCAGTTGGCCGACGCCTGACAACATATGTTAAAAGAAAATAAAAGCACGGTTGTTTAGGGACATTTGAAAAGTTGAATGCAAATCCTGTCAGGTGCAGACATGAATGCAGGGCAGGAGGGTGCAGCAATTCATTTGCTTTTTGTGTGTGGACCTCGCAGGTGGATTTCCGGGGCCGTCCAGAGAGGCTGATCCGGCTCAGGAATCCGTGGGGTGAAGTGGAGTGGACGGGAGCCTGGAGTGACGAGTATGTTCCTTCCTCTCCCCCACAGTCCTCGCCTCCCCCGAGGAAAGGCGTCATGCAAACACACGATAATCATGAGACCGATGGTAGAGTGAGTTCGGCAGCATTTTCTGTCTATAGATTACACAGCCTACTTAGAAAAGAGTATTAATGGTTCCAGGCTGGGAAAAGCAAAACAAAACCCACTTAGCTGTTGTCTTTGATTCTGGATCTTGGCTTTGGTGTTTGCGAATTTGGCGGCTCAGTTGAATTTTGTCTAGGGCTGGAGGGTTTGCCTGTTTCCTGCCTCCCATGCTGGTGATCCAAAGGTGAGATCCGTCACTCACCATCGGATTCTTTCCATTCCACAAACCCTGGTCACTCTGATGAAGGCCAAAGCCATCAGTACCAAGAGGAAACCATGCTTAGAAAGCAGAACTCTGGCGCACTCCACTTCGGCGGCCTGGGTTCACAGTGGATTCCTGGCGTAGACCTACACTGCTCATCAAGCCATGCTGTAGGGGCGACCCACATACAAAATAGGGGAAGATTGGCAACAGATGTTAGCTCAGGGCCAATGTCCCTCACACGCACAAAAAGAAGAAAGCATATCTCCATCCTAGGAGCCCACTGGCCGCAGCAGCCGATGCTCACTCTCCCCATGAACTCATTATGGGATGAGTGTCGATCTTTCCCGAAAAGTCATTAATGACTGGAGAGGTTCTTCTTGGGCGGGCCTCTCCGCTGGGCGGAGGAAGTCAGTCAGAGACAGTGACTGGACACTGAGGCCTCCGTGGTGTCCTGGGACTGCTGTGCCCTGGAGTTGATGTCACAGTGATGCAGGAGGATGGAGAGAGCATGGAGCAGTTTCCGTCTTGGTTAGCATTGCTGGCCTGGGGAGGCAGGTTGGCGCTGGGAAAGGAACTAGAATTTGCCAGCATCATTGATGAAGAGCCGTCAGAAATGGGAATGGTCATAATAATAACCCCCAATACGTCCTTAAACCTCGAGTGTGCCCCCATGTGCTGTCTGCACTCGGTGAGGCCACTGGGGCTCTTGAAGAGAACTTTATTACATTTAATCACACATCATTACTGCTCATAACTGTGATACTTCCCTTCAGGTTTGTGTGGAGAGGAAATATGTGTCCCTAGGGCCACAGATCGGCCTTCTGTATTAGAGATTTTTTATTCCACTGCCTAAGATTGAGCAAAACTCAAAAATTCAGTTCTGCCAACTGCGCAAAAACAATGTCACACCAAATGAAATTGAAACCCCGAGTTTTGGTCATTTTAACCAACAGCTGTTTACCAAGCTGCCTGAAGGGCTTCTCTGACTTTGTCTCCTTTTCTTGATGCCACTCAGTCTCTAGCAGGCTGGGACAGGTCCAAGGGTGGGAGGGGCTGACTGGTGAGGCCCATGTGCTCCATCATGTAGAGATACAGCCTGGGGTATATTTATACGTTGACTGCTGCGGGAGGAGGGGATGCATCTCTGAGCGACCATCCGTGGGCTCAACCCAATGTCTACTTAAATTAATTTTTTTTTTTGTTTGTTTATTTTTCCCCCAAAGCCCCAGTAGATAGTTGTAGGTCGTAGCTGCACATCCTTGTAGTTGCTGTATGTGGGACGCGGCCTCAGCATGGCCAGAGAAGCAGTGCGTTGGTGCGCGCCCGGGATCCGAACCCGGGCCGCCAGCAGCGGAGCGCACGCACTTAACCGCTAAGCCACGGGGCTGGCCCTCTACTTAAATTAAACAAATTTTTTTCTTAGTTTCAAAATACCAACTGGGAGATTTAGGTCAGATCTAGAATTCTCCAATGTGTCCCCTTATCTTTGTTTGTAACAAGCACGTTCTGAGATTTGGTTCTGATCCAATGAACGTTTCAATGAATTAAAGACGCCCTGGCAGCTCTCCCGCCTGATCCCTCGGGGCTCCTGGAGGCCAGCTGGGAGGGAGAGGCTGGGCTTGGGTGCGCCCAGCTTTTCTGCAGGGAAGGGGAGGTGTTTATGTATTGCTGAAAGTATTCAGGGAGAGATTTTTTTATTTTTTAAGACCGTTCTTGATACTGCTCGGTTATTTAGACGTTGCGTAGATATTTCAGGAAAACCTAGCTTTGTAAAGGTGAGGTAGCTGGAGATGGCATTTGAACAGAGTGTGTGGGTATTGCCACCAAAAGGCCACCAGCAGGAGGTCTCACCGGGCAACATTCCTTCAGGGAAATTGCCATAAATCTGGGCCTGGTTGTCCTTCTTCCGGATCAGGAAGTGGACCATGTCCCTGTGTCCAGAGATGCTCAGACCCTCTGCAATATCTTCACCACAGCCTGATGGATAAGCCTGAATGACAATTTACTAATTGATCCTGGCGTGCGTGCCTTCCTGTGACAGGCGTCCTCACCTCTCCTCTCTTGGACTTCCCTGTTCCTGTGATCAGGGGCCTGGGAGTCTTAATTAGAAATGTAAAACTTGCCTGGAGAGTGAAATTAGAGCAAAGCCGTGGAGCGTGTTTCTGCCGCATGTATGAGGTCACCTTGCCAGTGGCCGTGGAGTCCGTGTCCCCGGCCTGCGTCCCCTCCCCACACACTGTCTGTCCTGCCTTTCCTTTCTGCCTTGCTTGTTTTTTTTTTTTTTGGTATTCCATTTCTGGCTCTTCGAGGGAAATTTAGCCGCAGTAAACACCTCACACTGCAGCAAATCCTTCAGGAACGACCACCCCTGCTTCCTTTTTTTAAAGAAATTGAATTTTCTTATTTTTCCCCAGTGCGCCAGAGTGGAATTACATAGATCCCAGGCAGAAGGCAAAGCTGGACAGGAAAGCCGAGGATGGAGAGTTTTGGTGAGAGAGTCGTCTCCCGGGGAGCTGCCCCCTTCGTTGTGGGTTCACTCCCAGTTCCGATGCGGGGCAGTGCGTCTCTAAGGTGTTCCAGAAATTCGACATGATGCCCGGTCAGGGGGCTTTCATTCTTCTCCCCTTTTTACCCTAGTGTAATTCTACCTCTCCACCAGTATGTCTAAAGCGTTGAAACCGGGCCATCTGGGCCCTCAACGGGTCAGCTATCAGCCTGTCTTCCTCAGTTGCTGTATCTTTCCAATGAAATAAGGGTACTGCTTCTGTCTCTTTAAGTCTAAGATTTAGCTTGCCATCAAAATAGGATAACTTCCTTCGCGGGTGGGCTAAGGAAGAAATGAGGACGCCCCTTGAATATGACACAGCTTAGAGGACATCTCTATGCTGGACACCGGTCAGAATGAAATAGGAGAATGCTTCTTGTAGGCTTAGCTGTAACCAACCTGGAGACAGGGCTGTGTTCTGATTGCCTCCTGGGGTCTCCTCCAGTTGACGGTCAGTTTCTGCTTGGCTGGTTAGCTATGTGCGGGGGCCTCTCTCATAAGAATGGAGAGGCTAACGATAGTGAGGAATTTGGGCAAGTCTCTGTGTGTTTGTGTCAGTGGGCTCACATGGCCTCTGCTCCTTCCCATGCCCAGTAGACCTGCCCTCCACCACCTTTCCAGCCCAGCTCTCTTGCCCCAGAGCCCTCTGGTCCCTCTGCCTCCAGGATGTCTTTTGCGGATTTCTTGAGGCAGTTCTCGCGGCTGGAGATCTGCAACCTGTCCCCGGACTCCCTGAGTAGTGAGGAGGTGCACAAGTGGAACTTGGTCCTGTTCAACGGCCGCTGGACGCGGGGCTCCACCGCGGGGGGCTGCCAGAACTACCCAGGTAAGATGAAGGGCTGCCTGGGCCCCAGCTCCTCCTGGCTTGTCCACCTTGAGCTGGGTGTCTTCACATATTCATCTTTGGACATGCACCCCTTGCACCCCGTTCTCTGGCTCCTGGGCACCCCTTGGAGGCCCAGCTCCACCCTGGGGCTTGGAGGTCAGGGCAGCACGGCTGGCCGGTGGCTCTGCAGCCCCTCACCTGAGGCCTGATCTCAGGTAGCACCATTCTTCACCATATCCCTGCTTCAACCCACCTGCCCCCTGCCCGCAAAGGACGTGCTTCTTTGTACTAACCGTGCTCTTGGCACCCTGCGTTAAGGTCTCTTGTTCTTCTCTTGGGCTTCCGCCATCCCCACCTGACCCAGCTGCCTGACACCCATCCCGCTGGGCTCTGGGACAGAGCGGCTAATGCGCTAGAGGAACACAGGAGTGACATCTGCTCTTTCAGTTGACTGCGTCCACCAGGGCAGCCATTTGCTTTGTGTTTGTGCCTGAGTCGGTGGTGGAGGGGCCTGGCGTGTGGGCCGGGATGAGCACACACGGGGCATGCGAGCGGCCACTCCCTGCTCTCATGGGAGTCATTGGCGCTCCATCCCTGGGGAGATATCTGGTGCAAACCGTTGCCTCTGCACTAACCTGGGCCCTCATCTTATGAAAGTTGGGACGCCTGCCCGGGTGACCAAAGATCGCTAATATATCTGTATGTAGGCTCCTCCTAGGTTGAATCAGCTGAGGCAGCTCCTGAGGAAGAACCTGAAAAACGACCCCACATCTCTAAGGAGTAATGAAGGAAAGCAAACCCACTCTCTCCACTTCCCGCCTCCCCAGACCCCGCGCTCCCCCGCTCTGATGGTCTGATGTGACGTGTTGATTGACTAGACTGTAAGCACAGGGCAGGCCAGATGCTTTCTTCTCAGGACAGAGCTCATCGCGGGGCTGCACTCAGTGCTGTGGAAGCGGCATTATAATACAGTCCCATACAGGTGCAGGTCTGGGTCTCGACTGGATCTCCCCAGCTTCATGCCCCATCCAACCCAGAGCTCCCATTTGTGGCTGCAGAGATGCGTTCGGAGCAGAGAGGAAGGAGAGTGGATCCTTTCCTGCCACTGTCGCTCAGCTTACCAGCTGGGGACCCTGGGGGGATCTTTTCCCTTTTCTGAACTTCGGCTTCCTGATCCTCAAAACGGAGTGATAATACCCACCTTCGGAAGCGCCTTGTAAACCGGGTAGCGTTATACAAATGGGAGGTATTATTTTTATGGCCCATTCTCTTCCTCCCGTTCTGTTAAGGAGTAAACAAAAAAACATAGGGATTGTAGTAATGTTGCATTTGGGAGAAATTAAAATATGCTCACCTTTAGCACGCTCTTAGAAAATGCATAGGAAATTTGCCTGGATCATTCTGGGAGCTCGGAACTGTGGGGAGTGCCTAAGGTATCTGTGCATACGGAATCGCTATTCCCACCTGTGCCCCCAACTAGCTGTCGGGGAGAGATGGATTGTTCCTGCCCTTTGGTAATGATGTAAATATGGATGATTATGGAATTATCTCTGTCTCCCCCGGAATCTACAGATATTTGGCTTTAAAATCAACACACTTGTGCCCTAAATAAAAATTCTGGAAGTTGGAGATTCTGGGAAAGTGGAGTTGAATAAGTAATATTATTGTGAAGAAAATATAATAATCAGTGGCTCTTGGTCACCTGTGAATGCCTTGTGTTTTCATCAAGTTGGACCCTTAGAGGATGTAGGAACTCCCCTCCTCTCTCGACTCCTTTCTTCCCCCAGGGTACATCATTATTGAAATTGTTGAGGCCCTAGCATGGAGATGCCTGTCAGGTCCATCTGCTTCAATTGCGCTCTGCTGCTTGACTCTGTCATAGAACCGCTGTGTGCCCTTGGATGAGCCATTTGACCTCTCTGTGCCTTGGGTTGTGTAGTCACCATTTTGAGAGATTTTTTTAAAAAGTCACCTTTGAAACGAAGCAGTCTTTTAAAATATCCGTAGGTGGTGTGGCGGGCATGCTTCTTAATTGCCAATTATTATTCCTCATGCATTATTAAATGACTTGCTCTTGAAGGGAGTGTGTCTCATCAGTGGGCTGCAACGCCAAAGCCATCAAGTGAGGCCCCTGGGCCGATGGACAGAGGATGAGCAATCAGGGCTCTTTCGGGCTGTGATCTGAAGCAGGGGCCCTCTCTGAGGGAGAGCACATGCCCATCAGGCGGGGCTTTCCTGGGGGCAAGAGTGGTGGTCTTTACAGCCCATCAGCAGAGGCCTCCTGGGTAGCTTGTCTCCTCTGGACTTGGTCCTCATCTGTGCCCTGGGACATGCTTTTTACCTAGAGATCTCCCTTCCTCCAGGAGAGGAAGATCTTCTGGAGATCTCCCACCTCCAGGAGGTGGGTTTGTCTTCACACGCCAGGAGCTGAGAACAAGGAGCTGTCAACCATCTCCCCAGGAAGACTTGGAGGTTCCCTCCAGGGGGCCCAGGGTAGCCCTGGGAACATGACACCTTGAATACTCCCTGTCAAGTGTGTCTGGGCCCCTGGTTGATCAAATGGGCGAGTGCAAAGTTTCCAGATGCCATGGGATGTGTCTGCTGGTGTGTGGGTGGGGTAGGGAGAAAGGAGGGGATGCCTGACCACCTTGTAAAGAAAACCTGCCGAGGCCTGCTTGCCAGGCACGGTTTGGTGAGAGTTCTCTTTCATTGGGATGATCAAAGATCTTCCTTTTCATTTTATTCTTCCTCATCTCCTCACCCTGCTGCGGGGGAACCACCATCTCCCGGGTGACTTCCAGCCACTTACTGGACCAACCCCCAGTTCAAAATCCATTTGGACGAGGTGGATGACCACCAGGAGGAGAACGAGGGTGAGCCATGCTGTACGGTGCTGCTGGGTCTGATGCAGAAGAATCGCAGGCGACAGAAGAGGATAGGACAGGGCATGCTCAGCATCGGTTACGCTGTCTACAAGGTACTCCTGAGCTGGGGTCATCCTTTATTGCACACTTGACGTCTTTGGTTGGAGTATTTTGGCCAGTAATTGTAGTGTAACTTTCCTATTGCTTGAATATTCCTAATCAAGCATTCTCTTTGCTCCTCAAAATGCCTCTCCCAAGGGCCTTACTGAGCCCTGAATTCCACACTTAGAGATTCATTCCTATGCCGTATAAGTCTCTGCTGTTAACGTTGAGACATGTAATTCATCAAACTCTGCCTGTCATTGAGGGCTCAGTGGAAATGCGCCTATCAGACTCTTTCCAAGTATAGGTTTCGCAGGAGACAGGAGCCAAGAACATGGGGCACAAGGCATTTGAGGTGACACAAGGAGTATGAGGGCATCACAGAGTGATGGGGAAGGGAGGCTGGATATGGGAGCCAAAGACGTACACTCTCCTTCTCCTTCGGCAGCTTTGAGACACTTGTTGGGACACACGAGGCATGGGCTGGGGTGAGAGAAGCCACAAGGCCATTTTAAGTTCTGGTGTCTCTGGATTGGGGACCACAGCTGGCTCTGGTCAGGCGGCACTGCCTGGCTCAACATGCCAATTTGTGCTGGTAACCTCCCCTCTATGGATTTCACAGCTTCACAGATATGTAAGAGCAAGACCTTCAGGTCTTGACAAGCCTAGCCGGGAACAAATTGGCATCCACTTTTTCATACAGGCAAAGACTCCTTATAACAAATTCCGGAGGGATTCGTGTGGTTGTTTTTTTACAGTTGTGTTGAAACTGAATTTCTTGGGGAAAAATACAGTGCTAATCAGGATGACCAAGAGCTGGCTGGAGGCCCAACACCTCAGTATAAATTACTGCATGAAAAAGAAGTATTGTAATAAGAAACCAGTAAGGAAAGTGCCATTGTCCAGTTCATACCCCTCCAGCCTCTTTCTTTCTCCTATTTTGGAACTTAGGGCCTTAGAGTTGAGGGTGTGTGTATGTGTGTGTATTTTATGTGGGAAGCATGGGAATTGGAAAATAATTGCTGCTTGGTGGCAGGAGAAAAAAATTTCAAATAAATGAGCTCCAATTCTACTCCAGCTTAGCCCTTCCATCCGCACCTAGAATGTAAATAGCAGCAAACCAGATTCTTTGCATATAAGGATAAATATCCGAGGAGGCACTTACTGTATGCGTGTCCATTCAACGCGCGTTAGGGAGCATCTACTCGGTGCTGGGTGCTGTGCGGGAAGTTGAGACACGGAGGTAAAGCACGCAGTTACTGCCCTCCAGGTGCTGACAATCTAGAGGGGAAGTCAGACGAACGCTCTAACTGCATGGCGGGGCAGATCCGCTATGATGGGGGACCAACATAGGGGGCTGAGGGCTCTTCAGAGAGGGACAGCTTCACCACGGACAAGACTTTTGATCAAGGCTTCAAAAGATGAGCTGGGTTTCAAAGGTAGAGAAAGAAGAACATTCCAGCCAGAGGGGGCACTATGTGCTTCCTGACAGATGGAAAGGAAATGATGGTTTTGGAGAGAGGGTAGTAGGCGGGTATGGCTGCAGGGTGGGCTCCTCAGGGACTGTGGCTGCCGGTTCTTCATCCGCCAGCCCTACTTTATATAACCAGAGCAGCAAAGCATTCTTTCAAAGGGTCGTGAGCCAACACACTGAAATAGCTTGTTTGGCATGGCATTTGCTCTCATAAATAATATATACAGCATGTCAATTTTTCAGACATCACATTACAGCTTCTTATAAAATAGCCCCATGTGGGTGATCCATGAGCCTTCTTGTGGCCAGAGGCATATAATTTAGAGCATGACATCTGAGAAAACAAGCAGTTTTAAAGTTAGGTTGAGGGGGATATAGTGTTATAGGGAGTACCTGGGGTTGTAGGCGTACCTGGGGTTGTAAGGGTACCTGGGGTTGTAAGGAGTACTTGGGGTTGTAAGGAGTACCTGGGGT